ACAAGAATCATCACTACTAGACTATCTCACATCTTTTCTTGTATAATCTCCCCTAGTCATACTGCTTTTGTAAATGGAAGAAATATTATTGATAATACCTTACTAGCTCAGGAGATTGTTAAAGGCTATTCTAGGAAAAATCTTTCTCCTAGATGTGCCATTAAGATTGATCTACAAAAAGCTTTTGACTTTGTGAATTGGGACTTTCTGATGGTTGTACTAGACGCTTTAGGTCTTCCTGTGAAGTTCTGTAGTTGGATAAAGGCATGTGTTACTTCATCTCAATTTTTTATTTCTTTGAATGGTAGCCTTGTGGGTTATTTTAGGGGTGCTAGAGGAGTTAGGTAGGGGGACCCATTGTCCCCTTACCTCTTTGTCTTAGTTATGAATGTTCTTTCTCTTCATTGCTGGATGTCTCTGCAAAAAGGGGAATCTTTAGGTACCACCCTAAGTGTAAGAGAATTTCACTTACACACATTTGCTTTGCTGATGATCTATTGGTGTTCTGTCATGGTTCCATGGATGTTGTGATGGGTGTTTTGAGTACCCTGGAGGTTTTTTATAAGTTCTTCGATCTTAGGCTTAATGCCCAGAAAACTGAACTCTATGCTTGTGGCTTATCTGACTCTGTCCTTCAGCTAATCCAATCTGGTATGAGATTTAGGGTTGGTATACTCCCTGTTAAATACCTTGGGGTACCTTTGGTGACCAGGAAGCTCACTAGCAAGGATTGCTCTGTTTTGGTGACTAAGATTAAAGAGAAGTTTTGTAAGTGGTCTAATAGAAAGCTGAGTTTTGGGGGAAGGCTACAACTCATCAAATATGTCCTGTTCAGCATCTTCAGCTACTGGAGTAGGCAACTCATCCTGCCTAAAGGGGTCATTAGTGATGTTGAGAGACTTTGCATGAGGTTCTTTTGGAAATGTTGTGATTCCCCAGCTAAAGGAGCCCGAGTTAACTGGAACCAGATCTTTTGTATGAAATCTGAGGGAGGCTTGGGGTTGAGGAGTCTGGTTGATTGGAGTAAAGCTTGTTGTCTTCTACTTATCAAGAAAATCTTGGCAGGTGAAGGTTCTCTTTGGATCGCTTGGTTAAATGCTTACTGTTTCAGGATTGACGATTTCTGGAATGCCGATTGTAAGTATCATTTTAGCTGGATCATAGTAAAGTTGTTCAAAATGAGGTGTGAGGCTTTGAGACTATTCTGTTCCAGTAGTAATTGGGATCAAATTAGAGCCAGATGGTTATGGGATAAGGTTCGAAGCAGGAGTAAGAAGGTTCCCTGACATCGCCTTGTGTGGTTTCCTGGCCACATTCCAAAATTTTCACTGATCTCTTGAATGACAATCTTGGATAGATTGCCTACTAAGGTCAGGTTAGCCAGGTTTGGTATTGTTACAAACAGCGTTTGTAGATTGTGTAGCTCTGGCCTTGGTCTCGAAGTCATCTTTTCTATGAATGCTCTTATGCAAGTGAAGCTTGGTGTGCTATCTTGCTGCTATGTGGACTTAACCAGGTACCTACTGGTTGGAACGATCTTCTGCACTGGTTATTGTTGAACTTGAAAGGTAAATCATTGCTGGTGCATATCCTCAAGTTGGCTTGGATTGGCTTTATCTATTGCATTTGGGAGGAACGGAATCGTAGACACTTTAGAGGGGTGCATTGCTCGGTTGGCACAGTTGTTGGTAGCGTTAAAGAATCAGTGAGAATTAAATTGTATAGGAGCTCTATGAATAGTCTAGATACTGTAAATAGGCAATTGTGTATAGATTGGGGACTGATATAATGTCTTGATTTATGTTTGTAGCAGCTTGGTTGCATTCTTTTGGATGAATGGAATTCTACTTATCCAAAAAAAATATATAAATAATATAATTATATAATATTTATACCATTTAAATTTAAAATAAAAATATAGAAAGTAAAATTAATTAAATTAAAATATAAAAATTAAAAATTCGACTTGCACGTAATTTGTGGGTCCCATTAAGTGTCTAAACTCGTGGATCCTTAGGACAATTGGCATTGAATGAATTGTCGTCTTTGATCTTATTTAAACTTTATCTAATTCTCAAAAGGTCAATGTGATAATTATATAAATTTTATTTATATAATAACACTGGTCTAATGTTGGTTTCAATCCTTCTGCTGTTTTGAAATTTAGGATTTAATCTTTTATCTTAATTTGACATAATTTGGCACTATTTTTCACATCCAAATCGGTAACAATTATTATATTTAAAATGATTACCTAAACTTTTTTTTTATCAATTAATCACATTTAACCAATGATAAATATCATAGATGGACCGTGAGGTAGGTGGTTGGGAGCGATCGCCCCTTAAAAATTTTAAATTTCTATAAATTTTAGGTATTTTCTTTATAGTTTATATTGAAAATATATTTTCGCCTTTTTAAAAGTTCGGCCCCATAAAATTTTAAAAGTTTGTCCTTTAACATAAAATCATTTGTCTGCCCGTAATAAATATATATCAATTGAGTGCTTAAGGTTGTTTTGAAAAATCATGTGATCACTCTAATTACAACAATTAATGATATTATAATTTGAATTTACGAATAATGTTATAAAAGTAAAGAGTTGAGTTATGTAAAATTTAAATTGAGAGATTAAGTCTCAAATTTAAACGTAGTGGAGAGACTAAAACCTAATTATACCTATAATATTTTATGATTATATTTCTGTTTTATTTCGTTGTCAATTCCAATGAAGATTGTAGAAGTACATTATTTGTCCATAAAATATACTTTTGTTTTCTTTTTTTAATATTTTAAGGTTGTTTCTTAATTTTTTCACTCAAGTTTTTTTTCACTCTTATTTAAGGCATAAAATTTAAAATTTTAATTTATTCATTAAACTTTAAATTTAGTCCTATTTTAATCATTTAATCATTAAATATTTAATGGCCTTATAAGTGAACATTCATCTTTTAAAAACTATAACATGACTCCAAAGTTTTCTTATTTTTTGTAAAAAAAATGATTTTGGATTTATTTTTGATTTATCGGCAATAGAATATTTTATTCTAAAATTTAATAACGAGGAAGTGAAGAAAAAGAAAGTGAATTGTACATCTTGATTTTATACGAATCAGATGGTGGAATATATATCAAATTGATTTAGAGTTTTATAAGTTTTAGGTTTTTGGTTAAGCTTCTTAAGTTTTAAAGTGATTTTGATAAAATATAAACTGATAGAGTGATATGTGATGCTAAGACAAGTTTATTGGTGTCTTAAGTGGAGAATGATGATTTCAACGTTGACGTTATATAAAGATTAAACTGTAAAATTCTTATATTCGGATGAATGAGATAAAATAAAAAAAAGAAAAGAAAAAGTGACATGAATGTCACTTCAATAAAAAGTATAACACATCAGCATACATGATTATCTTGCATAATTTCATTTTTTTTATTTAAATTCAAACAAATAAATTAACTTTTTAATTTTAGTAATTAAACTAAAAGTGAAAATAAAGTTAAGTGATTATGTTCATGTCATTGCTGGCGGCATTACCCCTTTTGCTTTTCCAAAAGTGTAAAGATATAATAAATAAAATAAATAATATAAACATTTGTATTTTTTTATTTTACCCCTACAATATTTTAATATCCTTAAAATATTTATTTTATTTTATTCTTTGTTATATTTTTATATATTTTCTTTTCTTGCTAATTTGTCAAAGAATGGTTTGGATCCTTCGTGAACTGGACTACCTGTAAGGCTGTAAAGGTTTGGAGTTGGATTTATTATATTAACTTATAATCTCATAGTCTTTAAATGGATAAAATTTAGTATAATTTTATCTTTTGTGGGGTCGATGTATTATCCTTGCTGTCATCTCTATTGACGAGTTCATTATTTTAAAAGGTTTTATTTATGATTTAGCTATTGATATCTTCTTTTCAATTTTAATATTTAAATATTAATTTTGCTTCTATTAACCGCATAGTTTAAGAAAATATTGTTTTTTAAAAGTTATTTGGATCCCTCGGAAAGGAAATCATTCTGTTGATGCCCTCGCCTGTAAAGATTTTTGAAGACCCCCCTGCTGGGCTTCAGCATCTTCTCGATCAGGACCGTTTGGGTCCCCAGCAATGAAGGCTACTGTTTTAAGCCTGTACTCTTTTTTAACTTGAAAAAAAAATTATAAATAGATACTATACTTTATAAGCACATTAAATTATTTAAAAAATACTTTTATCCATGTTAGTATTTAAAGTATACTTCATCTTAGTTAATGATGTAATCAATCACGTATTATATTTTGTCTTGATTGATAATGTCGATTTTATTTTTTAATATAATAACTTTTTGAACAAATTGAGATAGAGTGATAGTTTAAGTATAAAAATAAATATTGAAAAAATAATAATATAATTTAAGGATTACACTGAGTACTAAGCTAAGTGCTATTAATATGTTACTAACATAGCGAGCAGATTATTAGACAAAGATGGACACAAAATTTTATATCAAGAGACGAACTTATAATATTTTAAGGATTATTGAAATAAATTATCTATAAAAAATAAAAAATAAATATTTGACATATATGTAAATTTTAAATTTTCAAAGAAAACACTATATCACTGACTGTTCGATCCATCCATGCTAGAGCTAAAGGAATGTTGCTTATTCCAGCCTTACCCTCTTGCAGTTGATTTGCCATTAACTTAGCAAACAGCCCACCCGACGGGGGCCTGTAACTAATATGATACTAACTTAGCGAACAGTCCACATGTGTTTATTCTTCCCGAAGTGTGCTATTTTAATTTTGCAGTTGATTAGATCTTTTATTCATTGCTCGTCGACCATCATTTTAATCAATCAAATCCTCCAAAATACAACTTCAAAAGAATGGCGTTTAAAATTCCTAATTATATCTTCAAAAAAGAGCAAAAGGAACATGGGGCATTCCATAACTTCTCTCATCTAATTACAATAGCTTTTACATACATGCATACATACATAAATACATATGCATTAATCTCATTGTGGTGCAAAACAAAGGGTTAAAAGTAATGAACTCGATCACGGTGAATAAATAATTCTAGTCTACATCTTCAATCTCGAAGAACATTAGAAGCCTTACATTTCTGTATTTTACTCCCTTCTTATCATGCATTGGGACGGACCGGATCCCAGTCTTCAGCTCCGGTATCGGCAAACACGTTTGTCCACCGAAGTTGTCTTTCCCGTGCATGTCGTATTCCCATACTTCGACCCGGAGCAGTGCCAGTTCCGGAAGAGTCAAGGGAAATGTGAATGCTTCATCCCATACCGGAACCCAATCATCTTCAATGACCTTTGTTTTCCTTTTAGCTTCATCTGCTGGCACTCCCACAATGTAAATCTGTTATAGTTAATGAGCAGTAATCATCATCATTTATATATATACATATATACCATAAATTTGAGGGTCAGAAGTTAATTTATATTTGTTCAGTTAAAGGATTTTTGGAGAAATATATTTCTGTACTCGTATCTACATATGTCTCGTATCTACATATGTAATAAATATAATATTTCAAAAAAAAAATGAAGAGTGCTAAGAATATAACTTAAAATTCATTCCACGAATATTATCGGAAGAAATTTCATGTCTATGTTTATTCAAATTTTTTATTTTTCTTGTCATGTCTATGATCGAAATTTCTATTAGATGCATATTCATACAAGCGTATAGAATTGTGCGGCTTGAACTCTTCATTTTACATACAGTACTTATGTCCAGTATTTAAATACAAGATATGACCTATAAGGATTCTCTAAATATATAAAGAATTTTTTTTTAAAGAAAATCAAGATATATTCATATCCATGTAACATAGGTATTGAGATAAAAAGTTTTAAGAACCCTCTTCATGGGGGTGGATCCAGTAAACCTCTTAGGAGAGTAAGTGTAACCCATTATTTTGAAAAATTTGTAAAATTTAATTTAATGTATTAAAGGGAAAAATATGATTATTTGGAATTTTTTAAATATATATTAAAATTTTATATTTTTATTTTTAAATTTTTGAATCCACCAATATTTTTTTATATGAAAATCTTAAAAAGTTAATATATTTATTCCATATCCGACACTCAAATGCCGAAACTATTGTCAAACCTTTGTGTAGAAGTCTGGAGGAGAGTACGCGTCAAAATGTGTGTGGCTGAAGTCCAACCGCCATCCATCCCCCGTGTATATTTTCACCTGTTGAATTGCAAAGGAAATATCTAACAAAAAAATCGTAATACCAGACTAATGCTTTTTTTTATAATATTTTATTTTATTTGAAATATTTATGTTCAATATATATTTGACCTATAGAAGTTCGTGAATATGATTTTTAAATTCATTTTAAAAAAAATTAGAAAAATTGAATATACTCGTATAAGACACATACTAAAATTAGAGTAGCAGGATTATTTTTACCTTTAACGTTTTTGTCACTGGGAATTTTGTTTTAGGATCAATTAGCTGGTCAGATGGTCGAGTCAAATGCTCAGGTTTCCTCACATAACCACATCCTCCATTGGCTCTAAACATGCCATGCATGGCCCACAGATGTTTTCCGTATCCCTGATAAAAGGACATCTTATTAAAAAAAAAAGTTCTACATTATTTACTAGGCTATGTGGAAGTTATTAGACCCTAATTACTTGAAAGTATTTATATTCGATATTTATGTTTAACATATATTCAAATATGAATTCGGAGATATGTCACTTGAAAGGCTAACCTGAATGTTAAATGCAACCATCTGAGCTCCATGCATCCATCCGATAGTTGGCTTGTAATTCGACGACGTAAAACGAGTACCCTTCGGATAGACTCGCAGGATATTCTTCTGTGTAAACCTGAAGAAGTTATGTTACTAGGATTCAGGTATGAGTATCGGATACGGATATATACCAAAACGATTTGATAGATACCTTACAACATCAAGTCCATGAGATCCAGCAGCCTTCTCGAGCTGCTGTTCGCTCATACTAACACGTCGAACCTTATCAGCATCAACTTTTAATGCTTCCTTTAAGCCACCCTTTGGCTTTCCTGCACGTATGGTTATTAGGCGCCTGTATTCGCATACCCCGGCTTGGACTGATTTTAAGTCTTCAACTTCTTCCTCACTTTCACTCTGCAAATGTTCAGTCATATTAGCTGAAATTGTGACAGAATACATGTCTAAATAAAAAAAATATATAGGATAACCGCAAATAAACGAATTCATAGAGTTTATTGCCATTCCTAAGAGAAACTTGGTTGAACATGCTTGTGTCGCATGTATCCTTGCCAAATACTCGCACTAGAATCTGAATAACAGTGATTATCTGCTTACCCCTTCTGGTTCATTTGTAAACTTCGGGGAATTCTCGTCATCAGAGTCTTTCGACCTAGACTCTAGATATTCTTTCGGTGGTTTCGTTGAAACTACGATTCGGTATTTCAATGATTCCGGCGAAGGGAACTCGGTTAAGCAATCCGTCTCTGAATGGTACAGCATACTTTCGAATGTTTGAATGATCATCTACAAGGTTTTTGAAATCATTTCTGATCATTGTAGGGGGGGAAACAAAACTAGAAAGGGAAAACAAAACAAATGAAAGAATAACCTCAGCAGCTTTAGCCTGCAATTCTGGTGTAAGATGGTCTTCCAATGTTATAATAACTGGATAAGGGGAACTAACAAAAGCATACTCTTTAATGGATACCAAACATTGGATAAGTGACACTGGACTTGTCAAGGTCCTATAATTCCATTAAATAAAATTTCTGTTAGAGAAATTCCGATATACGATTATCGTAAACTTATCGAAAGATCGAGTTATCCGTCCAAGTCCAAAGACTTGCTGGATATTTGAATCCAGAGTTTATCTTAGTTCAAATAGTCACCCTGAAATGGTGACACTCAGTAAATCAGGGATTCGAATCAGAGCATCTATGATATCTTTCCTTTTCTAAGGCTGATATTATATTAATTGGATAACGTATGAATGTCGGATACGAATATATGTTCGATATTACCTTCCATGAAGAACATAAATTTCATCTCTAGAGGAACCAGGCCAAAGATCAAGTTCGATGACTCGAACACCATTTTGCAAAGCCCTGATAATTGGAACCTCACTACAATCACTGCTCAGTTGATTCCCAGTTAGATAGGAATTATGACCGGTATATATGTAATAGTGCGACAATGGAGCAGTCATATCATGGTGAACCTGGAAATACGATAAATGATAAAGACTCCAAATACATGAAAAAACTTTGAATTGGTGTACTGGGCATATATTCGTATTCGATACTCATGTCTAAATCCAAGTAACATAAATCATCAAGGGAAAAAGAAAACAGCCAAACATAGAACTTCAAAAACTTATGTCACCCCGATTCTTCATTATTCTTTAAATGCACGTGTCTAACACCTTGTGTGATGCATATTCGAATGAGCATATGTATATAGTTCGACATACTAATACCCGATGCTCACCTCGTGCCGCAAAGAATCATAACTTAAAATTGTGTATCCAATGTGATATACAACATGTAATAGAAGGCCCCAACTATGTTACCATAAAAGAGAGCTCTAAACTTTTATTTTTTTCGGTATTCTATAGTTACATTGAGCTCTGCCTATTCTAAAGTCGAGCCTAGTCGTACTCGAAAGGGATTTTTATCTTTTTTTTTCATTTACAAGACTCAAAACGGAGATTTTTATTTAAGGGTTTTCTCTACCATAATGATAATTGTCGACCAAGAACCACCAAGATCACAATCTACTCGAATTTGAATGTGAATATCAAATATGATTGTATTCGATCTTTCTAAAACTTTTGTTATGTATTTAGGGATCCTTGAATAATCATATTCCTATTCTAATATCCAGATAAATAATTATAATAAAACAAATAAAAATTCAAAAATGCATAAAATACATGGACGCAATAAAAGAAACATGATTTACCTGAGTTCTAATAGGGCCGTTGAGATCATCGCAAAACAGGAAATAAAAGAAATCATCAAGGCTCAACGAATTTCTCGTAATTCCCGACACAGGATGCCTCCTGCTCACAACCTGTTCGACGATATGCTGAGCATCTTCGATTCTCGTATTAACGTCGTTCTGGTGCACCACAAGGAACCGTCTGAGCTGATCGGCGTTCATATGGACCGATTCATCCGTGAACAAAGAAAACGCCTTGTTAACATCGGGAGGTGGTTTGACTTCGTTGATCTTAAACTTCCTGTTGAAGAAGCTGAACATCCTGTAATTGTAGCTCCCAATGTTAGAGACCTCCGTCCCGTTTAACCTTGGCTTGTCTTTCTTCCGTTGGCTTTTACCCTTCTTTTTGGCTTTGGAATTTGATTCCATGGAGATCAGGGAGAGATCGAAGATTTTCCTTTTGGTTTTTTCTTTGTTGTGTTTCATTTCCTTGGAAACTGCAGCTTTTCAAGGTGAAACAATGGAAACTCGACGTTCTCTCTTGTAGTAAATGAGAAAGGGACGTTGTTGCATTATATAGTAACATTCTTGTTTGTTACCGTGATTTTCCTTCCATGAAATGTTTGAGGGTACATTTGGTAATTCCTACTTCCCAGGTTTTTATTTTTTTTAAAATAATTAAAAACATAATTTTTTTTATTAAGTGCAATTTGAAAATACTTCTGCAATGGAAAAGTGATTTTCCAACCCCATAAATAATGCTCCTCAAGATTTAAAATTATGATTGAAAGAATGGTTTTCAACCTAATCTAAAAAGGTCAATTTTTTTTTGTTTTTGTTGTGGAAAATCTCTTTTTGAGTAAAATTATTTTTATTCGACAATCGATATGCACCTCTAGCTTTACACCTCATGTTTGCTGATGACTGTCTTATCTTTAGTGAGGCAACTGCGTTGACAGGAGGAACGATTAAGGATATCATTCGCAGGAATGGACAAAGCTCTGGTCAAGTTATTAATTTCAATAAATCAGGGTTGTTTTTTTAGCTCCAATGTTATTAAGACAAATTGAGCTGATGTGCGCAGAGTCTTAGGGGTCGCTAGTTCGTCCAACCCTGAGAAGTATCTGGGGTTAGAAGCTCTGATTGGTAGAAACAAAAAAGGGTTTTTAATTTGTTTAAAGAGCGGATTTTAGCTTGGATCAACTAGTGGAGTATTCGTTGTCTTTCACAAGGGGATGGAGGTCTTTATTAAGTCAGTGTTGCAAGCAATCTTAGTGTTTACTATGACCTGCTTCCTTTTGCCGAAAAGTTTGTGTGCAGTGTTAGAATGATTAATAGCTCGGTTTTGGTGACAAAAAATCGCCAAAAAAAGGGGTTTCATTGGTGCTCCTGGCAGGTTCTTTGTGATTTAAAAGAGAATGGTGGCTTAGGTTTTTGGGATCTCGCTAAATTTCATATCTCATTACTCGCCAAGCAAGGTTGGAAGCTTCTTAATGCCCTTGACACCTTGGCTGCTAGACTAATTCGATCCAAATATTATCCTTCATCGGAGTTTGGTTCTGCAAATCTAGGATCGAACCTATCTTATGTCTGGCGCAGTATTTGGAGTGCTTGAAAATTGTTGGATTTGGGTTTACGTTTGAGAGTTGGAACTGTGAATGAAATCTCTGTTTGGAATGATTTTGGGCTGCCTGTTTTTCCTCTTTCCCGCGTTGCCAGTCCGAGAAACAATTCGATTGTGTGAGTTTTGAATCTTATTAATCCACATTCGAAAACCTGGGATGTGGAGTTGATTCAAGCGGTATTTTTTACAGATAAAACCGATGCAATTTTATCAATACCTCTCCCCACAGGTGGGGTGTGAGGTAGCAGAACCTGGGGTGGTGAACGTACTGGTTTATACACGGTTCTCAGTGGATATCGGTTACTTTTAGGGAGATGAACGCGAAAAATATTTTTTTCAAGAAGCTATGGGCAGCAAATTTCCAGCGCAAGATCAAACTGCAAGGGTGGAAATTTGTCCATAATTTGGCCCCTACACTGCAAAACATTTGTTACAGACGACTCCCAAAATCCGCATTGCCCGAAGTGTCCGAGGCTAGTTGAATCTATTGAGCATTTTTTACGGTATTGTTTGATTTCGACTGATGTTTAGATCATGTTCAGTATAATTGGCCAGCTATGGGTTTTTGCAAGGGTGGAAATTTGTCCATAATTTGGCCCCTACACTGCAAACATTTGTACACGACTCCCCCAAAATCCGCATTGCCCGAAGTGTCCGAGGCTAGTTGAATCTATTGAGTATTTTTTACGGTATTGTTTGATTTCGACTGATGTTTAGATCATGTTCAGTATAATTGGCCAGCTATGGGTTTTCAAAGGTGAAATATTGACAACTATGCACACAATAGAAATTACCATTTGGCTTTACCTCAACAAGTGAGATGGGCCTTCATCAAATCACACTGCCAGGAATTTGACTGTTTCTTCGCGGGTTAGTTCTCCTCTCGACTCACCAATTGTCAAATGGAAACCGCCCCCGTCATCTTGTGGTCAAAGCAAATTTTGATGCCAGTTTCTTGCATGGTCAGGGGTGATTATACGAGATGTAGATGGGTTAATCTTGGGTGCTTGTCGAAGGAAAATTCAGAGAATCACCTCGAGTTTTGCTGAGGAAACGGCGGCTGCGGTTCAATTGTCTCTTGATCTGGGTTATACGGATAAAGTTACACTACTGTATTTGGTTTGTTTTTCAAAATTATAAGATTATATTGTTTAGTCGAAGAAATAAGAAATTATTGAAATGTATATTTTATTAAATTATTCTTGTGCTAACATTTTTTTAATAAGTTGTATTCTAAATATTTAAATGAAAATATTTATATAAAAATTCATAGAAAATATATTATATTATTTTATTTTATTTATATATTTTTAATAAAATTTAAATTCATAATTTATATATATATATTTTTTATATAAAATTTAAAAGATAAATGGGTAGAATAAAATAGTAAATATATCATATATTATTTTAATTATAATAAATATTAACTTTTACATTATTTATCTAAAAATATATTAAAATTTTACATCAATATTTAACTAAATAAAAATATGAAAATTTTAATAGATGAACCATTTTACTCCTACTAAAATGTATAAGATTACTTTATAAATAAATACTTATGTAATATATAGGAATCACATTTCTGGTAAAACACTCTTAAAAAATTACCGTTAAGAATGAGTTATTACTCTCAATTGAAAATATTTTTCATTCAAACATGAGTATTAAATTCTGAAAAAGGAAAAGTTTTTCCCTAATCATCATTTACTCCATCCAAACACTCCCTAAAGTTTTGCTTGTTTAGTGTGCCACAGCTGGCATCGTTCTTAATTTCGATTATTTAATAAATTGCAGCCGGTTTTCAGTAAAAAAATATATTATATTATAATTGTTTTAAATTAAAATTATATAAAAGTAGGTGAGTATTTAATAATTTAAAATTACATATATCATCAGTACAGCAAATGATGATATATGGTTAAAAAATAATTTTGAAAATTTTTTGATGTCAAAGTTTTAATACGACGTGTAAATTTCACAAATGATATATAAGATATAAAGATTTTAGGGTTTAGAATACAAGTATATAAATACGAGAAAGATATAAATACTATCACATTAAAATATAAAATTTTAGGGTTTAGAATTTAAGTTCATGATTGATAGCTTTAAGTTTTATAGTTTATAGGTCAGGGTTTTAGAATTTAAAATTTAAAATTTAAAACAGATAGATTATGGAAAAATAAATTTTAAACAATTTATATATCAAATCTATTTATTAATTAACTTATATATTATATTGATTGATTCTAATCATAATCATATAAATACATTAATTGTAATTAGGTGCATAAATACATATACATATACACCTTATTTATATAAGAGAAGAAGAAAACAAGAAATAAAATATTATTCTAATTAAATTAAAATTTGTTTGTCCGAAAAAGTAATGAGGTTCTGGAGTACACTCAAAGATTTTAAGGTAAATTTACATTTAGTATCTCAAGTATCATTTTTATTCTGTTTTGATCACTCAATTATTAGTTCTTCTTTCAAAATCATACCTAATGTTAGGTTAGGTTTTGCTTTTTTTATTTTATTTCATTTTGGTCACCTGGCGTTAAAAAATTAATCCTCTAATAACTCTAGATAAAATTACACATCATTAATCAAATTAAACTGACGATCGAATTTGAATATCATAAACCAAACATCATATTGATATACATGTGTACAACATTGTTCATCAATTTCAGTCATAGGCAATCTAAAGTGAATAGGTTTACCTTTATGAGATGCCATCTTGAGGTTAGAATATCAACTCAGTCAAGTGGCTTCCTCTTCCTTCCAAGAACAGAAGCTCTTTGAAGCCTGGGGCCGCCCATCCGCCACTTCTTAAAGGCCGCCATTGAAGCTTGGGCTGCTTCATATACTACAAAGTTCGAACAAAACGTAATTACCATGTTGCTATGATTCATTATCTTTCTCGAAATAGCACACATTTGACATCGGTGTCCACTGTCCAATATATAATTATGAAACCTGTGTCGGACATACACTTGTATCGAACACTCGTACTCGAGTCTGAATATGTAACATTTATACCTCTAAAGGACTCACAGTAGTGAAATAATTTAAGCTTTAGATAAAGAACAAGGATTCTCACGATTTGTTTCTTCTTTTGTTAAAAGGGTCAAGAACTTGGAAGTCGTTGTGAATACTGCAGTATATGCCTTGGTTAAGATCTCCTTGTATCTGATCTTGAATGCCGATAAGAGTAGGATTTCAATGGTTTTATCCCCAACTCTATAACATGAAAACAGGAATGATTGTCTGAGAATTCATTTCGGATATATTATTTCGACTTTTCATTTCTTTTTAAAAGTATTTGTATCTAATACCTGTATCCGACGCATATTAATACATGAATATAGAAATATAATCCTTTGAAGACTCTTTGGATACACATTTAAAACAGTCTTCTTAGACCCTCTAGACGTAGAAGACCTACTAGGTTAGACCGCCAAGGATGGACTAAGAGAACGAGTCCTACCTTGTTCGAACTCTTAATTGTTTTTGTGTACTTGTGCATCATATCACGCCTTGAGGAGGTATAAGATATTAATCTCACATCGGAAAGAAATAGGAAAGTCACAGAATTTATAAACGGTGACGACCTTTTGACTACCTGATTTTATGTTAAACTTCCCAATGAGTAGGGTAGATAAGGTGGACAACCATGACAATGATCTGAGACGAGAATATCACGAGATTAAATGAGAGAGAATATTGTACCCTGGAGAGTTGTGGGACACTAATCCTACGTCAGAAAGAAAAATGGAGGTCTTGAGCTTTATATATAGCAGTGCTACACATCCTATATCTTTTGAAAAGAAGATAATGACTATGACAATCACTCATGGTTAGACACATGGATGAGAATATGACCTCACATCTAAATAAAACAGCACAAAGTTAAAAAAAACAATATTTGTGCCAGATAGGTGTTATATGACATTCAAATTTGAGTAATATAGATTATAAAAGATATTAAAAGGATTGAAAGAGAGACTCACAGTGGTGCTATCTTGCATCCAAACTCATAAAAATAAGGAGACCGAGATTTAAGATCCACACAAGCTGCATCAGCTTGGATTTCCAACCGTGTTCTGAACATATAAAGGAAAACATAATTAATAACACACCAAGAGAACTTTGCAAGCACATAAATCAATCATCAGCTCGGACACTGAAATGAGTTATATCGTCATTCTTCCATTGCATATGGGCATACTTGTGTGAGAAATAGTAACTATTTACTTCCATTGCATATAGGCATACTTGTGTGAGAAATAGTAACTATTTACTGCTTCAAATAAATTCAAACAACATTCATTTAGAAATAAGATCAAACACCTACAGGGTACTATCAAGGCAAGTTCAACATAACTGATTCTGGAGAAATACCTTTGATTGAAACAGGCGGGGACGCTTATGGAGATGGCTTGCCTTAAGTACAATTCTTGAGCAAGCCACAGTGGCAGCTCCACTTTTGCTCCTTGTTCAACCTAAGAACCCAACATCAGAAAATTAACCCTTTGTTTTCTTCCAATTTCCCCCCTTAAAGATGGGATAAAAGAGGGAAACATTGAGAAAAAAAGGTTTAAAAAGAAGAAATTACGCAGTTTGTTTCGGAACTGGGATCAATTATAACTCCATTTGCTGCTTTAAGGAAAACAACTGGAACAAACTGAAATTGCAAACAAAAATGATTTGAAGGATTTTCGATTAGGAAATTGAGAATTGAAAAGTATGCAAAAAACTGAAAAGGAAGGGGTGAAAGTGTTGAATCAACCTCTTCCTCTGCAAGAATATCATCGATATTGTAGTAATTTGCCATTTTCCTTTCCTGTTATTCTAAATCTTTTTCTTTTCCTGGATTTCTCGAAAGATTGGAGAGACGAAAATTATGTGCTAGTTAAGCTGATTTACGGGGTTTAAATTCTTTCTGAAAATTCAAGAGAAAAAGGAGGGAAAATTGAACATGATATTCTTAGTGATTTTTAGGCTTTAAAAATCATTCTTAATCTAGTATAACTTTAGGCCCAATTGTTAGAGCCTAACATGAGCCCAACTCAATTTAATTGATATTATTTATCGTCGTAATCATATTTAAGGTATTTTAATTTATGTAAATTTTGATAAGTGAATAATTTAAATTATATAAATTTTAGGATAGAATACACCCCAGATTACCTAATTATTAGTTCATGTTTTTTTAAGATTATGAATCCAAATGCACTTGAGCATATTTTTTTTTATAAAATAAGAATTTAAATCTCACATCCTAACAATTTAAAGTTTCTTCAATTCTTTTATATCATCATCAAACAACTTGAGAATAGTTTAGGGAGGATCAAAATAACTAATGAAACCAACAATATACCTTGCAATCTATATCATCATTCATTCTGCGATCATATTTCTTTCTCAGAAAACATTTTTACTAAAGCGTTCCACATTCTCTATATCATAAACTATAACAAGCGTAAAATCCTCGTATACCTTTATGTCAAAATTATACTTCAAAAAACTTAGACTACAGTAAGATTATCAAGTCTTGGTATAACTTTATGAACACTTGTATCTTATGCTTTAAACAACACATCAAGTGTACTCCACAACTTTACACGAAAAACTAAAGAACAATCAATAATGCGTTCATAATCAAGTTCATTTGAATAGTACTCGTGTAGGTTTGGATATTTTATTCTACTGTTTAAAAAAAATATTTATATAATTGATTTAGATAAAATTTAGAGACATGGGGAGTTTATAAACACTGTGGTCTAGCACACGATCGGCATTTGTAAGAATAAATGGTTGATTATGTTATTCAAAGTCCGAGCTGTTCTCAAATATTTTTAAGATTTTGAGTTAAAATTTAAAATAGATTCTTATGGGATAAAAAGACATTCTATTACTTTAATCAATTTGATATTATATTAATAATTATTGAAAAACGATTAAGTTTTATCAAATCTTATTTTTATTATTTTATTAAAAACATCTTAAATATAATCAAGAGCTAATAAATTAAAAAATAATGTCGATATGATATGAAATTTGATTTTGAACAATAAATAAGAAACGAATAATGATATATTATTTTACCACTAGCTTGAAATTTGAGAAGATTAAAAGTTAAGATTAGGAAAAAGAAAGAAAAATATGATCAGATCCGATTTGAAATTGAATGAATCAGTTAGATACATAAAGAAGATTGAAAATTAAAATTTTTATAAAAATTATAAAATTAGGACCCTCAAATATAAAGGTGGAAAATAAAATATTGAGCAATAATTCAAAGGACTCCCCTCGTAGCCAGCTTTAACCAAAGTTAAATATTTTACGATCTATACATTTTAAAATTTTGTATAAATATTTTAGATTATAATTTTAGTGCAACGTTATCATTGATGACATGCCATAGTATTATAGTGCCATAGCCAATTTCTTTGAAGTAGTATACACACTTTCGACTCCCTGTTAAATTAAGAATGAACCCGGCCGCACGTGCATGCTCGAATCACTACGACAAAATTCCGACATCATCGAATGCACAACACATTGATTAGCAAAAGAGAAAATATATCTTAATATCGTTATTAATGTATGTATATTTGGTTCTTTTCCTTTTGTTGGTTAACCGACATTGGAAATGATTAATGTTGGAGTTGATGTATGAACAATTTGAAATTATAGATGTTAAGTCGTGATTAGAGTAGGGAGCAGAAAATGTTAAGTCTACATGCTTCAATAATTTTATTAATAAGACTAATTTGATAGCATCGTTAATGATTATCATTTAAAGTGATGACATAAATATTCTTATTATTATTTAATTATATAAGTAGATTTATTTGAAAATTTATCTAATCATGTCTAATCTGTAATAAGTTTATATGTTAGCAGGACATTTAAATTATTTTTGAAATAATCGCTGCATATTATCAATCCGACCCTAAAATTTTATTTAAAAACATAACAGTAAAATCTAACCAACTCGATCAAATTTAATATAATTACAGATTTTTAATAAAACCAAAAACAATCAAATAAAATAAAATATTAATTTAATCTATTTAATAACATAAAATTAAAATGAATTTTAATTTAATACCATAACTTCAATAATTTATATGCTATTTTTATAATTATTTTCTTATAAAAACCTAATTAATAATATATAAATACATAGAAAAAAATATTTTTCTATGTATCATCCCAAATTATATATAGTGATGGTAATGTATTGAATAACTTATTTTTAACATCTTAATAATTTTAAAATTATTTGTTAAAGTATACGTTTACTGCCTCACGATTCGTTGAAAAATATCGATATGATTATTTTTGAAAGCTTACAGATCAAAATCATCAAATTTAATTTAAAAATATAATAATAATAATAATAATAATAACTAGATTGATAAAAGTACAAATTTAACGCCATACAATGTCAGGACAATAACACAAAGAAAGCGTATTCAAAAATCAGAATCGAAGAAACTCAACTGATTTCGATTCCAAGACCACCAAATATCTCACAGTACCATTGTTCCGATTGATGAGCCTGAAAGGTTGAGATTAAGATCATAACAGATCTCCGTCGAGGCAGCCGGAAAGCTTCAAAGGACTCGGAAGGTGCATTGATCGGGAACTGGATTTCGAAATCATATGAACCGAATAAATTTAGCCAAGTGAATAAACCATACGTTCGGACAGCCCTACGCCCACCACTCTCTGGTAGCTGCGCAATTGTGTTTCCAGGTAGTTCATTTCGGAGGGGCCAAATGCTCGTTGGAGCTCCTTCGAATAGAAAACCATTAACTAGAATTAGACATAAAAATGCTGAAGATTGCACTAGATTACGGATATGCGCTTGTCATAAACATGCATCTTATATTCTAAATGGCAGAGGCAAAGATCACCTGCATCTACTTTTAGTAAACAAATCTAATATGGAGCCGTGTTCGAACTAGGATTTAGGATCGGAAACCATGAAACAAAAATCCCCGAATCTCTTGCCAAGTGCTAAACAATTATGTTCTTTTCTCACAAAAATTTAATATTCAAGTAAAAACCGAAAATAGAGAGCACTTAGCATTCACTTTACCTTGTATCTTAGTCGAGATCCCCTCAGTCCGACTAAAACATTGCTCAAGTCGCCATCATCTATTTCGGCAGATGCTAAGCCACTTGTATCAGTCTCCAACTCATCATCAGAGCTCTCGGATTCGATCTCAGCCATCTCTTCATCATCCATAGGAACATCATTTGTGTCTTCTAGTCCGATTACATTGTGCTGCAATTCCATGTCACTTTCAGGAGGAACACAAGGTTTGGAGGACTCCACGTCTTGTAAACTGGCAAAATTGGATAGGATGACATATTTCTTTTTATCAAGCAATGGCCTCGCCGTATGAAATGAAACCCACCTGGAAATATTATTTCCAGCTTTTCAGCTCATAAGACTTGAAAGTTGCCAAAAAGAAGTATAAAATTTTAATGGTTTGAAACTTTCCACAACCCCCACCCAACTCTTGGTTATTTGCCTTAAGAAACTTTAACACCAATGCATTATGAAGCACGTGATGGCATTTAAATCTAATAACTGAAAAATGCATGTAATGCACAGTAACTGGAGCCAGAACTTACTGATAACGAAGAGGGCAAAGAAGCTCGGATGGGTAGTATGTTGCTTTATATCGCATCTTGCTGCAGGAGTGAATGTAATAGCCCATATAATAACACTGAAGACCAGCACTGTAGATTTGGTTCTCTTTCACCCAATCAATTTCTTGCAGAGCTGAATATTTACCCAATGATAAAAATGCGTAATCAGGATCCCAGAATAAATACTTGCTTGACAAGCATCCAGGAAGGATGTCTATCACTCCAACAGCAACTAGCTTGCCATCAATAATGTATTGCTGATGGAAAGAGCCAAAGCCACATGGAGGAACCATGCCATCAGCAGATGGTGAAACAAATAATAAGGGAGTGTCAACAAGAAACCTCCTATATGAGCTTTCTGTGACATGATCTGGTGTATCGTTATGTACTTTCATTTGATATCGTCTATACAATGCATACTCTTCCGGATCGAAACTGGACCTTTTCAAACGGATCTCAAGCTTCTTTTTTTGCACTTGATGATGTTCAGAGCTTTTGTTTGCACCGGAGCTTTTACTTCCACTCCCTAGTTCTTTATGCAGAGTAACATTTTGAACCTCTGCATCTGGAGATGCATTTTTTGCAGTAGAATAAAAATTAATATGCCCGTTGCAAGCCTTAATGGAAAAGCCATAAATGTTTGCAAGCTGCTTTAAAGAACATGTCAACTTCTCCGCAAAAGATTTTGGGCTTAGATCATTTTCTTCTGCGTTCTTTCTAGACATTGGCAATTGTTGGGTGTCCTCAGCTGATTGTGCCCGCCTCAATGTAGCGGCTATTTGGAAGGCAATGTTGCTGGAGTATAAAAGATCTTCTGATCCTTCAACTGATAACTTCCTTTTGGCATTTGAAACCTTTTTGACTGTGGCTTTTGGCAATTGAATTCCGGAAGGAAGTTCCCCACTTCCAATATATGTATAATGCAACACTTTGTCTATTTGGTCAGATAAATTATATATAACCTCTTCTGCCTTATTTTCCTGTTTGTTGCTGCGTAAAAATGATACATTTCCTGCTGAGCTTGAGACCTTATGATTGGACAGGCTGCCTGTATTCTTAGAAGTATTGGTATTGTATCCATGTTCAATTGGATTTCTCACCTCAAGTGTTCCATCTAGAAACCTGTGCATACACAAAAGTCAGATCTGAGGATCCACATTTTCCAACATAATATAGGGGGTGGAAACTGAAATATTTCATATGTAGGTCAATACTTGGGCTACACCTTTTGAAGCAGTATCTTTCCATAATTGCAAAACTGTGACAAAGGCCAGGGTAAACAAAATCCTTTTGATCACCTATGTTACTTGGACTCGGGTGTAATTGTCACACATAGTTATGGTTACGATATGGGTATGTTCAATTTTTTCCCGAGATTTTTCATGCATTTAGAGGGTCTTTGGAGAATTTTGTCCTATAGCTACGTCCGAGTATGTTTAGGACATGTGTAATACAAGAAAACCAAAATGTTGCAGTAATATAGACAAGCTTACGAGCATGGTGATTAAATGGTTCAATTACAAGAGCTTATTTATAACAAGAAAGTACTTTTTTCTCGTATTCCATTATTTTTTAAAGTACAGCAACACATGTTATCAAGATTAAAAACATGGGATAAAAACAGAGATAGAAATAAGGTATGAGTATGAGTCTATACCTATTCAGTCGTCTATAAACTCGAAGTTGATCTTTAGAAGGAACAAAATCACTGGCCTTCAAACGAATAGTATAAGATGGGCAGCATGTCCTTTCCATGTCAGGTTTGTAAAGAAAACAGCCGGATCTCCTCCAACCACGGTCAAGAAGATCTAATAAGCAGACATGTACAAATAAGTTAAAAAAATCTAAAGACATCCATATCGGAAAAGAAACAAAGCATTAGGAATGAATAATTAAGATTGCTCTCAATGACCACAAATCCTACAGTGATCAAGAAGATGTGAAACCATCTAAGGACATCGGGAATGAATATATAAAATTACTCTCAATGATCACTACTCTATAAATTTCATTCAATTCCAACTTAACATATCCATATAAATAAGTAGCTAAGATCAATACCCCAATAATCCCTTCCAAACAAATAACAGATTCTTCTTTTTCAGTAGCCAAAGTTTCTAACACTTAACTACACCGTTCCACTTCTTCATTTATACTTAAATGTTTTTTCATTTAAACATAACAGAAAATGCATGATCAAATTTTCATTTTTACAACTATGACAACAAAAGCATAAAATTAGCTTAGGAAATTGCAAAATAGAAAAGAACAATTCTTCATTTCTGGTTTATGTTTTTCACTTAAACATAACAGAAATTGCATGGTTAAATTTTCATTTTCACAGCTAAAACTACGACTCAGTAAAGCATAAAATTAGCCTGGAAATTTTCAGGGGAAAAAGAGAGAGAACCTTGATAATCATTTACTGTGATGCTATTCGCCCATAAACCTGCACAAAAAAAAAACAGAAAAAAATATCGTTTAAAAAATTGACTATTAATAAACTTTTAAAAAATTAGGTCAATCAAATTGACGAAAATTCAGGAGACATACTCGAAAATTATTCTTTTTAAAAAGGATAAATTTAAAGAACCTCACCGTGAGAGATACTGGTACGACCAGAGGATTTGCAATAACCACAGGAGCTTCGACTGCGGCCGCAATCGACGACCACGGTTTCCTCTCTGTTATTGCTACTACTCGCTTCGTTTTTCATTTTCGATTCCTTTTCCGCAACAAAACAACAAATTAGACTTCGAATCATGAAAATTTTCAAAGGTCTGTTTTCTTTTCCCTCTACTTGTTAGGTTTAAGAGGAGCACGAGAATACCTATCTTCTGCGAATCAAGCTTCCAGCTTCTCCCTTACTACGCAGAAAAAATAAGCACAATTGTTTAGGACTAATTTAGGTGATTGTATGGATGATAGATACTTTTTAAAGATTCTAGATTTAAGTAATTTATAAAAATATTTAAACGTTTATTATTATATGACAATAAAGATTAGGGTAACGTATATAAATAGTCCCTAAACTTTTAGATAGATTCCATTTTGATCACCAAACTTTTAAAATTACAATACAACCATTAAACTTATAGTTCATTTTCTGTAAGGTCCCTGCCGTTACCCTCCGTTAGTTTTAGCTGACGTGACCCGTTAACTCCGTTAAACACCCCGGTCTTCTTCTTCTTCTTCCTTGGTTATTCTTCCTCATTCTTCTTCTTCTTTCTTCTTTCTAGAGAAGAAATTGATTTTTGGTATAAAAACGGCTAGGGAAGTTTCACCGAAAATCGAAACATTACATGTCATCTGCAATTCCAAAGGCACTTTTCTCCATAGGCGTAAATGCACCAGCAGAATATGCCCTTCTCCAAAGACCCTCTGAGAATGTGCTAGGACATTCTTCCAAAGATGAAAAGCTAAAGCAAAATGGCACATCATTGGATATAAATAGGCACTATTTTGAAAATCAAGAGCAATTTCAAGCAATATTTAACGGTCCATTTCCCTCATTTTCACGAGAATACTCTAGCAAAAAGGGAACTGAGATGTATTCCTATATCTTTTGAATAGATGATATATTACATGCTCATATCCAGGATCATTAACCTTATTCTCAATAATATGGGTGATTATTTGCACCCTTCAGAAGTGTAAATGGATCTAAAACATTCAAAATTATTGTAAAAACTAAGTCTATTCCATCATTATCTTGCTCTGTATACCATGATTAAGTACAGGCAATGACTTTGCAACGGCCGTCTAAAGGGAAACAATATATCCAGACTTAGGGGATTGTTTTAGCTCGGTTAGCGGTTCTCTTTTTCAGCCAACAATGAACCAACCAACCTATTCCAGGGAACAAAGTAAAGCCAAATAACAACATCGCAGTACCCGATGTCAACAGAAAAGGCTAGATCTCGAAGCTTTGGAATCAGATAAGCAGCATCTCTTTCCTACTATTGGACTGCCATCATTCAATGAAAGGTTGGTTAAATCTCTTTTAAGGGCGGATAAACCCATCCTTCAAATGAAAATTGTCAAACAATATACTTTAGTATAACAGAAGCCGGTCCAAGACTCTGCTGTAATATTTCATGATTATGCATGTAGGCTAAACCTCTCATAGCACCCTGAAATAACCTAATGACAAAGCATGTTCTGCGTTTAAACGCCTGCTCTTTCTCAAAAGGATTCCAAGAATTTTCTTGTAGAGAAAGGACACTCGATACTTTCTCACTAGTTGCTTTTGCAAAGTCAGCTGCACTATATTTACCATCATCACGGAAGGCTAGCCACTGTACAGAAAAAGCTATTTCATTTCTTAAGTTACTGAAAATAAAAAAAGCAACTCGAAAACTCACATATAGTTTATATAAAATGACAGACCTTCTCCCCTGTTTTTGTCAAATCCACCAAGAAATAATAGAAGATTCTTACATATACCTTCAGAACTGCTCTGTTAAACAGATGCATGATCAAAGATAAAGTTTTAAAAAAACATATACCTTTCGAATTTCCAAAACTACTGCTTGTAGTGAGAGGCATATCGGGGTGTTTAAGAAGAAGGAGAAGAAGAGTGGGGCTAAAAGGGGTGTGAGAGAAGAAGAAGAAGAAAGAAGAAAAGAGGAAGAAGAAGACCGAGGGTTTAGCAGAGTTAACGTGTCACGTCAGCTAAAACTAACGGAGTGTAAGAGATCTTACTGAGAATGAACTAAAAGTTCGATGGTTGTATTATAAGTTTTAAAAGTTATGTGACCATAATGCAAATGCCCTAAAAGTTTAGGGACTGTTTATATACTTTACTCTAAAGCTTATACATCTCTACAAATATTAATGTTAGGATTCGAAAATTTTAAAAAATAATATTTTTTTAATCATTAAAGTAATTTAGTTTACCCATAATATTATATTTTAAATATACTTAAATAAATCAATTCAACAACCGTTAATCCAAAATCCATTATCTTATAAATGATAAGAAGCATAGATGTAACATTTGGCCACCCCATTTGCAGAATATTTTTCTAACATAGGCGAAAAGATTGACCGTATGGAACAGAGAGCTACTGTGACTTCATTTGTCTGGTTTTCGGATCCTACCATTGTTTCAAGTTCTCAATTAATAGTTTTCCTATGAATAACATTTCATTTTACAATTTAAGGATGAAATTTTAAGACTAAAATTTTAAATTTTAATAAAATAAAATAAAAAAACCAAAATTAAAAAATTGATATAAGAAATTCATTTGTTTAATTTTAAAATGTGAATGAATCTAATACATATTTAAATAAAAAGTTAAACTGATAAGTGATAAAGACTTAAGAAGGGATTGAATTAAAAAAATGTTAGGGGAATAAAAACTAATTATACCAAAGAAATAGTGGCGTGGACGAATCTCTCTTATTTAGGGGTTCAAAAAATGTTAGGGGACTAAAAACTAATTATACCAAAAAAATAGAGGCGTGGACGAATCTCTCTTATATAAGGGCTCAAATGTTTGGTTTAGCTACCGATGGAATCAAATTCTTCAAAATTGAATTAATCAGATCTTTTTCTTTAGTATTTAAGTAATTTTTTAATTATCAACTTAATTAATATTTTCTAGTTAGATTAGTTTGAGTTAATATTAAGATAAATATTTTTTATTTATATCAAAAGTTAATTAAATTTTAATAATTTAATGAATTTTAATATAATTAAAAATAATTATTTTTAATGAATCTGAGTTTAAAATATAATGAAATAGACATGTATCATGTATGTATCAATCATTCAACCTCATCCTTCGCTCTCACGATTGACAAAAGTGGGTAATGGGCGGTGCCTGAACCCACTAATTTTGTGGCCAAAAATTGATCAAATTACGCCGTCCATGAGCAGCCGTCCCATTGTCGTTTATAACAAAATTATTCCAATGGAGTATTCCTCCTGCTCAGTAAATAAATAAACCGACATTTTTGCACCAACTTTAGCCTATAAAAATCACCATTGCAAGCCACTCACCACCCCCACTAACTCAAAACAAATCCCAGAATTTTCTTCTTTAATTTACATTTTCTTTCTGCTTTTTTGTTTGCCAGAAGTGAAAATGGAAGGCAAAGAAGAGGATGTTAGATTAGGAGCCAACAAGTTCAACGAGAGGCAACCGATTGGGACCGCCGCTCAGAGCCAAGATGACGGCAAAGACTACACCGAGCCACCACCAGCTCCGTTTTTCGAGCCCGGCGAGTTGACGTCTTGGTCGTTTTATAGAGCTGGGATCGCTGAGTTCGTGGCCACTTTCCTTTTCTTGTATATCACTGTTTTGACTGTCATGGGTGTCGTTAAGGAGAAAACAAAGTGCACGACCGTGGGGATTCAAGGGATTGCTTGGGCTTTCGGCGGTATGATCTTTGCTCTTGTTTACTGCACTGCCGGAATCTCAGGTAAAAAAACACTCTCTTCTAGTCTTCTTCCTCCACCTTTTTTGTTTCTCGAGAAAATCAGTTTTGAGATCTAATTCAGGCGTTTGTGGATAGGTGGTCACATTAATCCGGCGGTGACGTTCGGGTTGTTCTTGGCGAGGAAGCTGTCGTTGACGAGGGCGATTTACTACATGGTGATGCAGTGTTTGGGCGCCATATGCGGCGCCGGTGTAGTGAAAGGGTTCATGGGGAAGACTCGGTACGGTGCCTTGGGCGGCGGAACTAACTCGGTGGCTCATGGCTACACCAAAGGCGATGGTCTTGGTGCTGAAATTGTTGGGACCTTTGTTCTTGTGTACACTGTCTTCTCAGCCACTGACGCCAAGCGCAGCGCTCGAGACTCTCATGTCCCTGTAAGCATCCAATAATTTAATCTTCATATTCGAATTAAAATTCATTTTCAACCAAATTTAAATTAAATAATAATAAAATCAACTTAAATTAAATCAATATTAATATTACTATTCAAATTGATTTTTAATTGAGTAAAATATATAAATAGTATTTTATTATAAGTTATTGTTTTAGCTGCAAAGCTCTTATATCTGTTCCGCGCAGACCACGCGCAGACATTGGGTTTCGCATACAGTTTGTTTTTTTAGAAGACAGAAGCTCTTCTAACATACGTGGTCTTATGTCTACAGAAATCTTCTAATCTCTTTAAAGAGGTTTTATATTTAATTTTATACTATATTTGATTTTAATTTTAATATTATTTTTTAAAATAAATTAAATATTAATTTTTTAATATTATATTATAGATATTAATTTTAATATTAGTTTTTTAAATAAATAATTTTTTTTTTAATATTATTATAGATGTTTAATTTTATATCATATAAATTATTATATATTATTAATTTTATATTTATTTTTATTTGATTTAAGTTTAGATATAATATTTTTTTTGGATTTGTTATTTTTAAATTATATTTAAACTTTTTATACAAAATGTAAGTATTTAAACCACATTGCTTAATAAAAAATGATTTTATTGTTTAATAATTAAGATTTTAAAATATAAAAAATTATAAATTATGTTTTTAAAATTTTAAAATATAATCACAATTAAATAAAAATAATCATAAAATAATTTTATAAATTAAAAAATATTTTCTAAAAATATCATATAATTATAAAAATAAATTATGAATATATATTTTAAAAAATAAAAATATTACATAATTGCATATTTAAAAAAATCATATAATTTAATGATTATTTATAAATTTTATTCTATAAAACTTATAAAACTAATAATACATGTGATTATGTGAGACTTATAATATAATTAATAAGGTGGTGTTTGTTTTTCTAAAAAAATTATTATTGTAGTTGTATGAATTATTTAAATTTCAGTATTGTAAAACTAAAATTATTTAAATCTCAGTATTACAAAACTCTTTTAAGTTTAAAAAATCAGTTTATTTATATTTAAGTTTATTTTAGCAGTTTGCAGACGTTAAAAAACAAACAGTCTTCTTATTGTAAACTGCAGACTTTTGGTCCACCTCTTCTGCTGCAGATGACTGCAGATGTGGTCCGCAGACTGCAGACTTTTTAGCTCTGCAAAAACAAACACCACCTTGTTGAGTTTTTATTATTATAAAAGTTGCAAAATAGTTTATTAATTATAGAATATTACTTTGTTAAGACCTCTAACTATTAAAAGTAATAAAATTGTCACTTTATTGTTTATATATTCTAAACTTATCTTTTTTTATTAGAAGATTGATAATTGTCTGAGTTGGACGTTAATTTGTTAATTAATATATGATAAATATGATCTCATAATTTTTTGAGTTGTATTTTGTAGATTGACTTTTCAATTACTTTATGTCGTTGAGTTAGTGTTTGAAACATTATGTCATCGAATAGTGCTTGAAAGCAACAATATTATTAGTATACATTATTAAAATATAATTTTATCATATTTCAGTCAATATGTTAACGTCTAGCTCAGACAACCATCGACTTTTTTAATGAAAAATGATAACTTTTAAACATATGAATAGTCAGATGATTATTTTGTAACTTTTAATAATCATAGATTTAACAAAATAATACTCTATAGTGGAGGACCATTTATGTACTTTACCCTTTCTAAGTTTAGTATTAATGAGATTATTTGTTTAGAGAATTGGAATAAGAAGCTATGGATGTTGCTACTAATGGTGGGTGAATTTACTTTTATGTGGCTAGATTCTAGCACCGTTGCCGATTGGGTTCGCGGTGTTCTTGGTTCACTTAGCCACCATCCCGATCACAGGAACCGGGATTAACCCGGCTCGTAGTCTTGGTGCAGCCATCATCTTCAACAAGGACAAAGGCTGGGATGATCATGTAAGCCTCTAAATTTTCCTCATAATTTTTTAACGTCTCTTAAATAAAATTTTAAAATCGAGTTTTAGAAATAAAAAATAACATTAGAAAAGTTTGCTTCTATTTTAAGAGTCTCACTCAACTTAACTCTAATTACTATTCAAATTAAAACCCATGTGTAAAGATTAAACAAACATTATGAGAAATTAAATTATTTAACTTTAAGAGAATGACCAATTAAGAATTCAAACCTTAAAAATTGAGGATCAAAAACCAATTTTGACTAGTATTTAAAACTAAGATAATACGAACCAAACGATTTAAGTGATTAAATAGATATTTATTATTTTTAGAGATCCCGAGTTCGAGCACGATATCTATAGAGATATTTGAGTATTTATTGTCAAATGGTTGAGTCTTTCAAATAGATACAATATTGTAATTATATTGTAGTAATAAAAAAAACTAAGAACTTAAACTATCATTATATCATAAAGTGGATAATGTACCATAAGTTTATAAACTATGATCATTTTAATACAATTTTTAAAAAAAAGTCATAAAACAATTATTAAAAATATTAAAGCATTACAAAACGAGCGTTATAATGTTATAATAATAATATTTGAGAATTTTAATTTCCGTTTTGTAAGAGTTTTAATTTAACCATTAATATATGATATATTAATTAATTAATCTAAATATTATAAAATTTGATTACAAGGGTTCTTCCTAATTTATTTTATTTATAACACTAAAATTCAAGTTTGTGACTTTATTTAGTGACCTTAATATCGCAATCAAGCGTCGTGATTGTATAATTGTGATCTTGTGATAAAACTTTAAAAAGAAAAATGAGAATGATAATTATCCAAAAAAATAATAATGAGAATGCCCCACCACCCACTCTATGTTTCCTTGCGTTAATTTTCTCTCGTTTGTATGCTTTTGTGTTTTTGTAAGTAAATATAAGTATGTCACATTATGCTCTATTTCCAAGTTTAAATACGATATAATCTCATAATTTTAAATACGATACGATAATAATGCGATAAAAAAAATAATAAAGTATAGCATAATATAAATATAATCTAAGTCTACAAATGTATATAAATAAAATAAAATAAAATACGAATTTGTGAGATTTCACTATAGTTACCTAATTTGACAAGTTTATCCCTAACTCTTCAATTATTACAACTTGACAAGTGTTTTATTGTCTAAAGAGTTCAAACGGAGAAGGGTTTTTCCATCTTAAGAGACTGTTATTGGCATTGTAATACTAAATTATAGATTTCAAGGAAAAAGTTCATAGAACAAAGAATTCAACTGTAAAACTGAATTGAACCATATATAATTAAAATCAGTACAAAAGCAAAACATGTTACTGTTATATGAATATATCAAACATTATCAAATTGATACAGTGTTATTTGATTAAGCTAAATTCATTTATCTCCCTACATACGTCCCTAATTTCAAACATCAATGAAAGAAGTCGAGGTTATTTACGAAGAAAAGTAGGAAACGTAGTGGAGTAAAAAAGAAAAGAAATACCGTGGTACACTTAAATATAATTAAATTATTATTTTGGATAAAATATACAAATATCCTAAACTATAAGACATTATTTTGTTGAGTCCGTTAATTATTAAAAATTACAAAATAGTCACACAACTACTTATATATTCCAAATTAGTCATTTTTTCATTAAAAAGTTGACGATAGTATGAGGTAAATGTTAAAATACTAACTGAGATATGATAAAATCTGATATCATAATTTCAAGTACTATCATATCTCAGTCAGTATATTAACTTTTAACTCAGACAATCGTTAAAATTTTAACAAAAAAATAATTTTAAAATATAATAAATAATCAAATGATTATTTTATAACTTTTTAATAATAAAAAAATTTAATAAAATAACGTTTTTAATATGTGAACTATTTTATGACTATTAATAATTGACCCATCAACGAATTAAGAAAATCATCTATGCACTTTATCCCGTTATTTTTCACTTGTTAACATTTTTTTCCCGATATTCACTTATCACATTCAAAATCCTTTCCATTTTGCTTTCTTAAACGAACAGCCAATGACTTTATATTATTTTTAAACTTTCGATGGCGAAAGCAAACGCCCATTTCCCTTTCCCAAAATGACCTTTTGTTTGCTTCTCCGCTACCGCCGAAGTCAGAGGCAGCTTGCATTCCCTGCCTTCTCTCTCTCAAGATCGGTATATCTCTTTGCAATTTTCTCCCAAACACCAGATTTTGTCGAGAAAATGTTGCACTGATTTTTCTCTGATCAATGTTCTTTTGAGGGATCACAACTATGTCGGACGCTTTGATAAATGGATTGGCGGGAGCCGGTGGAGGGATCATAGCTCAACTCATTACGTATCCTCTTCAAACTGTATGAGATTTTCTTTTCATTTTCTTCATCTTTTTTTATAGAAAAATTGTATTTGGCTTTAGCTGTAATTTTCCTTTTTTTTTTCTTTAACTTGTTTTACAGGTAAATACTCGTCAACAAACAGAGCGTGATCTCAAGAAAGAGAAACGGAAAGTTGGAACCATTGAGCTAATGTGCCAGGTTTTCTTTCTTCCGTTTTTTAGAGGAATTTGTTAGTGGAATCTATTTTTTTAGCTATTGTTCATGTTAGGTGTTGTTGGGTTGTTGGGTTTTCAAACTAGTTTTTTAGTAACTATGTTAAAACTGATGTTGAATCGTTGCCTATCAGTTGGAAAATATGGATAAAAGCAACAATTTAAATTTTGTTTTCTTACTTTGTTTATAGGTTGTAAAACAAGAAGGATGGGAACGTTTGTATGGAGGATTAACACCTTCATTAGTTGGTACAGCTGCATCTCAGGTAATGAACTGTAAGATTTTTAGACAAGAGAGCTGTTCTTGTTACTATTTTGCTTTATGATTAAGGAGAGTACTGTGTTATCTGGACCATACAGAAATGTGTCTGGAATGGGGTATATCCTTTTCTCTAAGGTTTTTATATCTATTCCGAAGATGATAGCCTTGTACCATATTCAAATATGCGCTGGTCACTTGATACACATAGGTACTTTAAGGGAAATAAAGAGTCTGGAGAACATGGCTATTAATGATAAATTGGTAACGTTTCCAAGTGAAACAGATGGGATTTAGGGAACTGATTGTTTTTTATTTTTGGACTGAATATAAAACTCAAAATCCCTTGAACTAAAACTAAATAATCATTCAAACACCTGTTTTCTTATTGCTACCTGTTAAACCCTTGAACATCTTTCATCCAGTTGAGCTGTTGATAAGACAAAATATTTAGATGCCATAATAAATTTTCCATCTAATTGAAGGTTCAATTGGATAAAAATATATGTTTGAGGGCATAAATATATGTATGGATGATTATTTAATTTTAATTCAGGGATCTTCTGACCTCTATGGAGCTATTTTAAAGTTGCTTAACTACATTGTTTCGTGAACTCACCTCTATGGAGCTGTTTTAGAGTTGCTTAACTACATTGTTTCGTGAATTCAAGTTATTTACCGATCTATCTTTAAGAAGGACTGCATGATTTTTTGCGTCAACTGCTTTCTTCTATTTGTAAAGTGATCGTAAACTTGCAATATTTTGTTTGTTTAGTTTTTTCGGATTCATAAATACTTACTATCTCTATGATACAGGGTGTTTACTAATATTTCTATCAAATATTCAGGAACAAAGCTGAAATTAAAGCACTTGAAAACAGGAAAAAGGGGATGCTTTATCAGGGTAATCTAGTTTTATTTTACTTTCAATGTTGCCGACTGTCTGTGGCTATTGTTGCATGCTTCTTTAAAGTTCTCTAGATCGTATAGAAACCGCTCTAATTCTGTTTCATAACTGTAGTACTAATTTTCTTTCTATATTAGCTAATTACATGCTTACATCATTTCTGTGTAGGTGCGTAAATGTGGCTGTTGACTAACCCCATTTGGGTCATTGTGACACGTATGCAGGTAAAAGACATTTCAGAAAGCTTTTTGTTTGGTGTAAAACATAGAAAGAACAGACTTTAATGTAATAAATTTATTGCTGGATATCCATACAATAAGCGTGGGTCTTCTGATCCAAGTCAATGGCCACAAATTGCTCATTATCCTAGATCCCATGCCAGAATTATGGGAAAATACGGAAAAGTAACATGCCCTCTTGCGTATAATGCCTAACTTTGTTTTATATCACACAATGATTTGTACTGCTTTAAAGTTTTGATTTATGCGTTGCAATTGAAGGCATCAATTTTCAATTTACATGCTTTCTAATATTTAAACAAAAAACAATTATTGTGCTGCAGTCTCACAGAAAAGTTTCGAAGGAAGATAACCCTAATAGATTGGCAAAACCTGCTCCGGAGGAAACAGTTATTTCTGTCATTGACCCTCTTCCTTATGGCACTGGTCATGCGGTATGCACCATGGATCGTCTACATAGTTCTTTTGTGTAGTTCACTTATAACATTGAAGCTCATTCAAGTTTTCTCTAGAAATGGTAGAAGATTTTAGTTGTAAACTTTATACAATAACAGAAATGCATAATCTTGTGTGTTTGTGTATAAAAGCATTTTTCACATCTCTTCCATTTGCTAAATGACGATGCTTGTAGCAAGTGGTTGAGGTCTGTTTGGAAAGGATAGATGGTAGGATTGATGATGGTAATGACTATTAAATGATGAAGAAATGGATGATGGGTTTTCGTTAAAATAGAATATAAATGTTCTAGGTAGAATAAAACTATTTTAGAATTATTGCATCCGTAATAGCAAGTGTAGATAAGAACTTGGAATTGAAGATTAAATCGGTGATTGTGGAATTTCGATAATGCTGAATTGGTGCTTGAAATAATTTGCATGAATGTGGTCAAAATAGCAATTGTCATAGTATATTCTTATTGTTTTGACAGAGTTTGATTTTGTCTTGTTAGCCTCTTAAATAGTTGTAAATATGAAGATTTTGAATAATTACTTTGAAACTTTGTTTCTTCGCCGATATGATTTTGTACATTATTTTGCACATAAAATACTTGCAGATTCAAGAACTCTTTGATGAAGCTGGATTTTTGGGCTTCTGGAAAGGTGTATTCCCAACGTTGATCATGGTATGTGAGAAGTGACTGTTACTCTTGTTAAGGGAGTTTCACTTATTGTTCCTGCTGTTCCACACAGGTCAGCAATCCGGCTATACAATTTATGCTATATGAAACGATGCTGAAGAAGCTGAAGAAACAACGATCTCTTCTTGGTACCCCGGGCAACAATGGAATAACTGCTTGGGAGGTTGTCTCTAATTTCATATCTCCTAAGTAATAATGATGTTATGCTATGTTGGGGAACATGAATTTGATTATTTGAATACGGATTTCATGCATATATCAGGTATTATTGGAATTCAATATGATTATATATTTTAAAGGTATAACAACTAAAATTTCAAATTAATTACTAAATATCAAATCCATGAGTTTATGAAATAATAATGAATGTTACATTTGCAATTATATATGTTTTATTGCACCACTCTTTTTGAAATCCAAATTCATATTCAGAAAGTTAAGTCGCGAATCGCTTACCTCGGTGTTCCTTGAAATGTCACTTCTTCTATGTTTTAATCTCTGAATAAGTTGTCTAATTATGCTAGATATTTCTTCTTGGAGCTTTGGCAAAACTGGGAGCTACTGGTGTGACCTACCCTCTTAATGTAGTAAAGGTGTGATGATCATATAAACTACGTTACTCTGACTGTTCATTCTTTCTTGAAGTACTCGTTTTTGAAACTTGTGTCTGACACATTTTGCGGACACCAGTATGGGGATATAACTCTCCAAATACACTTATGTCCTGGTATCCTTATTCGTCATGATAAGCGATAAGTCAATAACCTTTCTATACTGAGCTTGAAAATGTGTCATTTATGCATCTTTTTGGTTGTCTTTACAGGCCAGACTTCAAGCAAAACAGGTTACAACTGGGGACCAAAAGCATCAATACAAAGGTTTGAATCATTATGTTGAAGTATCGAAGTAGTCCGTACTATTGAATCGAGTAATTAATTTTTGTATATTTGATCTTGGTGCTATTCTAATAATGATCCGTTTTAAGTATCTAAATAGTCCATACCGGCAGTGTATGAAATAATTTTCCTTATATATAGGGACTTTGGATGCTATTCTTAAGATGATCCGCTACGAAGGCTTCAACGGATTTTACAAAGGTATGAGCACAAAAATCGTACAAAGTGTTCTCGCAGCTGCCGTATTGCTCATGATCAAAGAAGAACTTGTCAAGGGTGCTCGATTGTTGCTTGTTAAGAGCAGCATCCATACTGTGAAATCGAAGCCTCCTTGACTCGAAAATTTCTTTTGCTCTCCGCTCCGCTCCGCTCCGCTCCGCCCCGCCTCCGATCTCTTTCTATTTCAACATTGGTAAGTTATTGCTCAATTTATTCAAACTTGGATTGTACCATTACCATATATTATACCTTGAAATAAAAGGGATAGATATAAAAAGATTACCCGTTGAAATAAAACTAGTATACAATCCAATTTATCATGTTTTTATGTTGTGTTCAAATGTATCGAATCTAATACCATCAAGTGTTTGGATCAACTGACATGAGATCGAGACCTTGAAAATAGATATAGATGAAGAGTTTTGTGATTTTATGGGCCTATTCAGTTGGACTTATAAGTCTATGCATTGGGATTTAAAACTTAGCTCTCGGACCTCATTGTTTTGGGATTTTTCAATTTGCTTTATATTATCTTTATTCTTGAAATAATAAACAAAGTATTATAAATATTAAGAAATTTTAATAAAATATGAAAATAGTTATAAAATTAAGGGTAAAGTAAACAAATGGTCCCTTCACTATAAGATATTGTTTTGTTGAGTCATTTGACTATTAAAAGTTATAAAATGGTCATCCTAACTATTTATATGTTTCAAACATCATTTTCGTTAAAAAATAGACTTTCGACGGTAGTTTGAATTAGACGTTAATATGCTGATTGAGATATGATAAAATATGATCTCATAATCTCAAATGATTATTAGATCTCATTTATCATATTAACGTTTAGTTCAGACGATTGCTAATTTTTTAACAGAAAATGATGAGTTGGAACATAATGAATCGTCGGTGATTATTTTATAACTTTTAATAGTAGAGAGATTCAATAAAGTAATATTTTATAGTTGGGGGATTATTTGTGTGTTTTACCTTAAAATTAAATGATATATGAGGTAGATTTGATTAAAAAAAAGGTAAAGTACACAAATGTAATTTGTGTATAGAATATTATTTTGTTTACTATTTTGATTATTAAAAGTTACAAAATGATCATTTGGTTATTCATTATAATCCAAACTCGACATTTTTTATTAAAAAATTAATGACCATCTGAGTTAAATTTTGACATGATGATTGAAATATGATAGTCATTTGAAATTACGATATCATATTATATCATGTCTCGGTTAGTAGGTTAATGTCTAGCTAATATTGTCGTTAATTTTTTAATGAAAAATGATGAGATTGAAACATAATCAATAGTCGAGCAATCATTTTATAGCTTTTAGTAATCAGATAACTCAACAAAACAATATTGTATAGCCAGACATCATTTATATTCTTTACCCATAGAAAACATAAGGAATAAATTATAGTCCTACCAAACGGTTTAAAGAATTTTCTTGAGAATTTTTCGATGTCTTATAATGGGAAGTTCTACAGTATGACACCTTTAATATACAAATAAAAAAAATATTATCGGTTTTGTTATTATTTAAAGAATTAAATCGGTAAAAAAATTAATTAAAACATTATTATTTCTACATAAAACATCAAAATTTTTAACATTTATAGTAAATTGTTTAACAATAATAAAATCAATAAAAAAATAACAAAAATAATAATATTTTTGATAACTTTTATCAATTTTATTATTTAAAAAATAATAAAATCGATAATATATTTTTTTAACTATATATTAAAACTGCCGCTTATATAATAAATGAATGATGTTTACTGATGACTGACAGAACTCCAACAATCGATATTTTTTTAGATTTGAGATTTTGTCTCTTGTGCTTTAAATAGCTACGCTCATAAACACTGCTTTTGTATTAGATAATGGCAGATTCACACATTTTTTTTAATAGACTGATCATAAATAAAATTAAAAGGTATATATCATTAATAAAAATAAATAAATAATCGTCAAGTTTTTTAATAGACTGATCATAAATAAAATTAAAAGGTATATATCATTAATAAAAATAAATAAATAATCGTCAAGTTTTTTAATAGAATAATATAAATAAAATTAAAAGGTAAATATCATCAATAGAAATAAATAAATAATCAAAAAAATTAAAATTTGTATCCACGTTTAAATATATGTGGATCTGTCACTGATATTAGAGATACTTAGTTATATAAATCCTTTAATGACGGTAAATTTAGTTAGACAATGTGATGATCTTTTTTTGTCATATAGGTTGCTAAGATTTTTTTTATCTAGTGTGAATGTTACAATGCTAATTGGAAGACGTCAGAACGATACAACTTCGGAAAGACGTTTGGATGACACAATATCTTCCCACAAGCTACATGCATGCTCGGAAGCTTATAAGGCTATTGTCTTGTAAAGACGTCAAATTGTTCGTGCGTCTTTCGAATACGCAATGTTATCTAGGCATATTCTTGCAAGCAATGTAACAATCATACTAGTAGAAAAAATAATAATTCTAACACCCTACATGATAATTTTTTAAAGCACTATTTGGACAAATTTACTCTTTAACGGCACTAAATATTGGATAGAACACACAATAAAATTTTGACTCGAAATAATACCGATTGATAAAAGTTCAATTGGAAAAAAAATATCTCAATTAGAAAAATAGCTTAGGATATGAATTTTCAAAATGTTATTGTCGACAGGGATAGTAAAGAAAATCTGACTGTGCTGAAACGAGAATTGGTTGTTCAATGGATTTTGACACTGGCAAACTACATTGCTACTATTATGGATTGTAATCGAAATCTTTCATTTCGGTACACCCCTCGCGAATGTAATCCAGCGGCCGATGGGTTGGCGAATTTGACATGAAGTTAACCATTTTGGCGTGGTACGACTCACGCAACTAGCTGTTTCTTTTCCTGCTTAATTTTCTGTAACTACTCTAGTTTCATTCAAAAAAAAACTTAATTTAAAATTCAAATACCATAATTTCATTATATATTTATAATTAATTAATTACTTAATACAATTAAGGGCGAACATTTAAGTTAAGTCAAAAGATTTTAAGTTATTCAGTTGAGTCAAATTGAGATGTTGAGTTTCTGTTTAAATTTAATTGTAAATATTTATAATAATATGATATTATTTGATTTTAATTTAAACAATTTTTATACAATTATATAAAATATATATTTCATATGTGATATATATGTGATATACGTATATTATATAAAATTGAGAGATTCAAATTAAACTTAAAAATTAATCTACTAATTACTAAAAAATTTAAATTATTCAATTTATATTTCATAACTGACTTAAATTTAATTTTTTTAATCGAATTTATAAAATTACAAATCAAGTCAAATTTTTTTAAATAAAATCGAGTAAAAAATCATTTTTCGTAAATCTTGTAAATTTTGTTCACTCCTAAATATAACTAATAAGTCGAGGTCATCAAGTTGTCATTCTTCTTCTGACGTGGCATTTCTATTCTGGTGGGGGTCCATACAACTAAAGAAAAAACCTATATAAAAAGATGACATGGGTTTCAAACTAATCAATCAAAACAACGGATCTCAAACAGGGTAATAATCTGTATTCCATAAATCACCTTCACGTCCGCCCGTATTTTCTTCTTCGTATATAAACCCATTTGATTGATAATCTCTCTTTCTAATCTTTCTTTTTCTGTAAAGGAGATATTTATTCTCTCTCTAATAATTTCCTCTCTATCTCTATAAAAACAACGCTTTTAATTCTAATAATTTGGATAAAAAATTAACGAATTAAAAACGTTAGATTCCTTCATAAATCGAAGAAACTTGAACGAATTTGATCTTTAAGAGGATTTTTTGGGGGGGAAATTCGTGGTTCGAAATATCAGCAATGGCCGATTCTGGAAAGAGAGAAGATGTTGATGATGATCGTGTGGATCAAAACGGTGACGAATTGTTCGGTTCATCGCAGGAAGGCGTTGTTCAGACCTCGTGTGGCGTTGGATCTGGAACAGGCACGAGACAAAACGGTGAGATAAGGAATGGAATCAGGCTCGCGGAACGATTGACGGACATATTCGTTGATGAAAACGACGGGGATTTGTTGCTTCAACAGATCGATAGAGAGGATAGGGTTCTTCAATGGTTACAAGCTTTAGATATGCAATTAATCGGCGCTTGTCGAACCGATGAGAGGCTAAAACCTTTGTTGAAAGTCAACGTATCAAACGGCATCGCCGAGGATCGATTGTTAGCTCATTTGAGTCGGGTACTTTTTGTTAAGTTGGAATTTCAATTGATATATGTCTAATCTGAAAATATTGTTAATGTATGTAGTTTTTGTGTGTGTTTATAATTTCATTTGTTTCCATGAAATTTCCAGCACTTTGAGCCATCGGAAGTTGGTATACTGGGGAGGTGTTTTTGCATACCTTTGGTTTCAGTTCGAGTAGGGAAGATAATCAAACAAGGAAAATTGATATATGTCTAATCTGAAAATATTGTTAATGTATTAGTAGTTTTGTGTGTGTTTATAATTTCATTTGTTTCCATGAAATTTCCAGCACTTTGAGCCATCGGAAGTTGGTATACTGGGGAGGTGTTTTTGCATACCTTTGGTTTCAGTTCGAGTAGGGAAGATAATCAAACAAGGAACTCATTTTCACCCTTGTGCTATAATGTAATTCAATTCTGATTGATATGAGGTCTCTAATTTATCATATATTTATATGCCCTGGATCCGTCATTCATCTTCATTTGCAATGTAATTAATCTCTAGAAACTTCCCAATTTTGGTTGATTTTCCTTCTTTCTTTATTAAATTTGGAATTATCAAATTAAGTAAAAGTTGGTATACTGGGGAGGTGTTTTTGCATACCTTTGGTTTCAGTTCGAGTAGGGAAGATAAACAAAAAAGGAACTAATTTTCACCCTTGTGCTATAAGGTAATTCAATTCTGATTGATATGTGGTCTCTAATTTATCATATATTTATATACCCTGGATCCGTCATTCATCTTCATTTGCAATGTAATTAATCTCTAGGAACTTCCCAATTTTGGTTGATTTTCCTTCTTTATTAAATTTGGAATTATCAAATTAAGTAAAAGTGATGAATGGTTTGCAATATTAAAGACCAATTAGAGATATAAATACAATCAGAAGTGAGCATTATTCTGTTAGATCCATTAATTCTTCCATATTCATTAGCGTGTCATTAATGGCTTTCCTATTTATTTGGTCTTTCCTACACTTAGTTGCATAGTATTCTTGGCAAATTTTCTAGTAAAACTCTTAATTTTTTTAATTGATTGTATTATGTTATATGGTGATGATTTCAATATTCCATGCAGGCAGCTGATTTAAAAACATATATGATTTAGAATTTTTTTTTATCTTTCAGAGTATTTCAGACATGTTTACCACCTGTGACTGTAAGTTTGTATGCCATGTATTTTTGTATGATTATATGTGCTAGAATTTGCAAGTGACTTGTTTCGAATACCAACCTTTGATCTTTGGACTTAGTCATATTATTGATATGTTATTGTACTCTGTATATCTTAGTTGAATTACAGGTTTTTCATTTATTTACTTTTTGACGGATAATTCTAGGTAGCGTTTATTGCTTTAACGTTTAAAGACATTCTTGTTTATTTTGGCATTATGTTTAGTCCATAGTGGATTGATTTTCACGATTTTCTAGATTGCTGCATCAGTTCCAGTGATTTCGGCATAGTTTTGCTCGCATGACTGTTTTCTGTAGAAGGGTCCTATTTCTGGATCCCTAGTCCTATATTACAAGTTGTCTCAATAGTGCTTTGGTTTAGCAACTTCTTTAATTGATTTCCTCTATTGGAATCTTTCCTTTACTACCAGGACTACCCTAGAATATAATTTGAATGGAAGGTTTTTAAATTAGTTGTTAATATTTAATAGAAGTTTCAGGGTCCTATTTTAGTTTGTTGTTGGCCATCATGTTCATGCTTCCAAATAAATATACCTTTTGACCTGTAGGTAAAGTGGGCGTATTCTATAATGATCTCTGAATTATGAGGAAGTAAAGGTAGTTTCATCTCCTATATTGTATTGTTTGCTGCTGCTGTGGTTTGAGAATTGATAGTGTTGAATTTAATAAAATCAATTTTAAGTAGGATTGAGTGCTAGTTACATTTTGTGTGAATTATGGTTACGATGCTTTCTCAGTGTCAGTTGTCTTCACTTTTGCTGCGAATTTGTTGAAATCTGAATTGTTTACTTTATATTTCTATCATATTGTGCTTGGTCTTTTGCTATATGATACCTTATCGTTGTGTTTTGTATTTTTATTTTAGTCGTTATGGACCGATTTCTGGAAGGTTATTTATGATAATATCTTGTTGCTGTTCAATTTGTCTATGTTTATGTAAAATAGTTTTGTAAGGCATGCCACAGGATTTGATTGTTTTAGAATCAAGAAGACTATTATGGGAAAATACATAAAATGTAAAAACTGACCTTTATTTTTTCGTGTATTTAGAGGATCCTTGAAAAGTTATATCTTTACACCCGTGTCAGAGTATCCTTGTACTTTAAACCAAAATCAAGAATCAGAACATGTCCGTTCCTTGCCTAAAATGCTGAATCTCACAACTTGCTACGTGTAAGGTGTTACATAATAGACTTGATATTTGTGCTTATAACTTTAATTTTTTGGACGGGCTACTGATTTATTTATAAAAAAATAAGCAAAAGTTTGCTAAATATGAAAAAAGACAATGGCCACAAACCCACCTGTTAATTGCAATACCATACAGGTTCCAATCTCCCGGTTAACAACCATTATGATATTTAATTGATCTGTAACTTTTTAAAAGAAGGCGGAATCAGTCTATAACTTGATTTTGCTGCTGGTGCTTATGATTATAATTGCTATTTTTTTACCTTGTCTAAAATGTTTCCTGAAACCTCTTGAATTTATGCAGGGGAAATTTGATTCTGACACTCTTGCCTACATCGGACTTACGCCTTTCATTTGTTGGGGATGATGGTCAATCTGAGAGACTGTTCATCGTAAGTGATGAATCTGAGTGTGCTGCTGTTTCCATCGATGAGATCCCAGCAGACAATTCTGGACGATCTTTCCTTGTGAAGATCCCAGATGGCAAAATTTTTTACTATTGGTGCTCAGAGAAATCAAAGCTCCTGGGGACTGAATTGCTCTCAAAGGTGGTTTCCTCGTTAGTAACTTCCCTATGCATGTACAGAATATGCTTCTCATACTCATCATTTTCTTGAAATACCTGCTTCTAATATATATCCAGACATGAGCATGAAGATACGGCTCTCCAAGGGGCCTTCTAAATACATGAAATTGAATATGCTTGTGCTGGATATATACTCGTTCAACACTAATAATCAAATCCAAGTAACATTGTGCAAAGATGAGCGTACTTAGGAAGAAGTTTAGATTTTTCTTTAATTCTAAATATTATTTACATCAATTTAGCATCTCCCAAGTTATTAATGTGACTCTGATACTCACAGTAACAGAATTTGTTTTTGAAGTGATTGCTATCTAATATTATGTTCTTTTCATGATAGATGAAGGATTTGATAAAAATAAAACCTTCAATTGCTGAACTGACTGGAATCAGCGAGTCACGACTAGGCTGCTTTGTAACTCAGCTTCGAGCCTATATCGTTGGATCAACAGTGAGTAATACACAAGCAATTTATTCAGGTCCACCTTCACCTAACTCTGTGCTCAACCCCATTAATGTGCACAGTGGACAATCTTCATCAACATCAAAATCTTTGCGATCCCGGAACTCTAGCAGTCAAATACTCAAGGTGAATGCACTTTATCAAGGTAGTTTAAGTCCAAGATCAAGTTCTTTCAAAGAGGGTTTGACCCGAAACTTTTCTTCCTTGAGGATCAATGCCAGGGATAAATTACGTCGTCGTGGAGATAATCATCTTTCAGTAAGTGAGAGCCTTGCATTTACTTCACCTATTACTAATGATCCCTCTGACGGTGGCAACCAATGTGAAAATGATAAGCTTCCGAATGTCGAGAGTTGTCCGTTCCCTCCTAACTTCCTCGACTCCCTAGGAAAATTTTCTGTACCGCCAGCTCTAAGCTCTGTATCTCAAGTTTCTTCTTTAGGATTGCCTGTCTTTTCTCCTTACTATTGTTGGTGCCCCTCAGGATCATCGACTCTGCAACACTCGGCTCCTTCTCAATACCCAACCTCTTCAATCGAGTCTTTTAAGCTTCCACCACTTCCGTCAATATTGCCAATGAATAGTTCGTCCAGCTTGTTGAAACCAACACCGCCTCTCGATCTGACCGATATCACTTCATTGGATTTTCCAGCTTTCCTCCCAGAACCATTGGTCCGACTGCCAATTGCAAATTCACAACAAATTCCGACCTTCACACCTTTGATTTGTGATCCCATTGTTCATATTCCATTCATTAATTTTTGCTCTTCAGGAGGACAAGGTTACTTGGTTAGTGTCGGTCCCTCCCTTTCAACCACAATCCCACCGTCACATCCACAACTCGTGAACACTGAATCCGTGGTCGAGAAGGGTGATAGAGAAACTCTTCGGCTACTTATCAGTGGTTCAACACAGAGTAACCCTCCATTGATTGATGTATTGCCAGCAGTTCTAACCAGTGCCGACGTGAAAAAGGGTATCCTTGTTGCCGGAAGCTGTGGTCTATACAGTGGAACTAGAGATGTTAGCGCCATTGCCAAAGGCATTGCGGCCGTGAGTTTGGTTACACTTTCTTCCAGCTCCATGGCAGATAGTATTATAAAACGATCTAGCAGCAGCAGTTGTGACGATCCTGATGCAAATAAGCTATCGGGATCTAGCGGCTCGGATGAATCGTGTTCGAACAGTGATGGTGCTAAACTTTCAGGCTTAAGAGAAGAAGGTATTGATTAAATAATATGTTTTGTTTCTTTGGTTCTTTAAAAATGAAAAATTGTAGATAAATGTATCTGCAGTTTTGTCATAATGTAATTGTAATTAAATCCCAATCACTTACCCACTTTAGGGATTTGATCTCTTTTCTAGTATTTTATCTACTTATATCTTGATCATCGAATTTCTCTTCTTTTAAATTGATTGTCGTTTTTGCCGTTGGGTCTTTTTTTATCTAAAAGATCATCCAACCATTTCTCTTCTTCTCTTTGATTCAATTTCGAAAAAAGTTGAAATATGAAATGACCATTAAGAAGAATGGATAATGAGTAGACCATAACAATCTGAATTATGTTTTAACACTGCAATTATATCATGAAGCATGAAATAAACGATATTGATAGATAAAATTCATTGCATTCTGAAACTAATCATATATACCAACGCGAAAATTTACATGATCTACATGACATGTATCCAAACTGAAGCATAATAGTAAAGAATGAAATATTTTTCAAGTAAACTACTCTAATATTAGCCCAGCTGCGAAAAGGTTGGTACATGAGTGTGTCATGTTCTCGCTCTTGCATGGACTTGCAAAAACACTTCTATTATCATTTAGTGAAGCCATAACGATCAATCATCGGTGAAACTAGTGGACCTGTTCTAGTATCATGAAAATCTGTCTGTATCAGATAATCATTTACTATCAGAATGCAATGGTGGTAAAGACATGTTTTTTTCTTTAATTATTTTTCAATGGCTTAGGAAGAAAAAATTGCGCCTGTAGCTCAGTGGATAGAGCGTCTGTTTCCTAAGCAGAAGGTCATAGGTTCGACCCCTATCTGGCGCGAAATTATTTTCGATCTCTTTTTTCGTAAGTGCTTAAATTATGGTCCCAACATTTTAAACTTATTTTTAAATGTTTTAACAGGATATTGCTCTTTAAGATAAAATTGAAATTTATATATCAATTATATATAATTGGTTTAAATTATATTTTCTCTAAAACAAATACATGTTTTCTCTTAATTATTTAACTTCATGTTATAAGAAATAAATAAAATATATAATCTTAAGATGCCGTTTACCATTAAATTTAAATAGTTTAAATTAGAATGAAAGTGTAATTCAAAATTTAATATAAAATATAATTTAATACGAATTTAACTTAAACTATTCAATTTTTTATTTAATAAAATAATAAAAAAATGTTTTCATATATTTAAATAAGAATTGATTTTAAAAATAAGATGTTTCATATTTATAAAATTGATCAATTAAATTACAAATAAAATTATAATTCAAGAAGATTGTAATTTAATCTCATATTTATTAGACTTTAGTTATTCAAATTTATATTTAATTATAATATAATAATAAAAATAACAGTTCAAATTACAATCAAAGATGAACCTAAGGTGTGAATAGACTTTTTATTGAACTTATTATTTAATTTTAATATAATAATAAAATTATTAACATATTTTATTTTAAAAAAATAATTAAAATTTTAATATAAATTTTAATTTAAAAATTCATGGAAATGACGAAAATGGATTAGAAAGGCAATTAAACTTAAAATAAATAAAAATATTATATTAAATTAAAGTAGAGGTGTTAAATTATAAATTTCAACATACTAAATGGACTAGAGAAACAATTAGACCTTGAATAAGCATCGAAGTAAACTATAAAAGGAACTGCTAACCCATCATTTTTACGTATTGCCTAGTGTAACAAACTCGCTGATCTGAAAAAGAACCCGAGTTTCAACTCAGTTGGAAATGACGAACTCCCTGGTCGGCTCTCCGAGTAAGCTCCTTTTTTTTCTTCCTTCTTTCTTTCTCTCTATTTCCTCATTTTTTTTTCATTTAATCTAAATATTTTCATTACTTCTTTTTGTTTTCAGATTAAAGAAGCGACTCCTCGACTCGGTCTTGAAAACGCCATATGCTACTCTAGAAACCTCAACAAGATCAACGCTCGAATCTCTTCTTTCACCAGAATCATATATCCATAACTTCGCCTTAACTTGCGCATTGCTATCTTCTTCTCGTTCCTCCACTCACGAGCTTCTCGCCTGGATCCCGGACCACCTTTCGACCGCCGCAGAAACTGGCTTTTTCCTACCTCTCGAAAGCTTGCAACGACGCCGTTTGGGCTGGCGAGAAGCGAAAACTGGTTGTGGAATTAATTCCGGTAATCGTTCCGGTTTTGAATGACAATATTAAGGAGAGCTCGATTGACAAGAGTGGTGAAACTGATGAATTTTCCGCCGCTTCGACTAGGGCCATTTTTGCTGCTTATCAATTTAGATGGTTGGTTTGTCAGGTATCTTATATTTTTCTCAGAAGTAGAATTTTATTCTTCTTTTTTTTAAAATGAAAATTAACATTTATAATCTTTCTCTGTTTGTAGATTGAGTATCCTGATTTGGATAAAATGATGAATTTTGTTATTCATTGTGCTTTAACTTGTCTTGAACACTGGTCGCCGGAGGTGAAAGTAAGCAATTTGTAATTTTAATTTTTTTATTATAAATTATTGAGATTAAGAATTATGTTCCATTTTTAATTGTATTGATTATGTTTAGGGGCGGATGATTAGCTTTATACATGCAGCGAAAAATGTGAATGCAGGGGCGTTTGATTTGTATGGAGACATGATTCTTGATGCCTGCTGCCATAACATTGCTTTTACTGATGAGACATGGCAGTTCTCTGTAGAGATGTCGGTGTTACTTGTTACTTGCATTCACAGAGATAATCCCCGTAGTCTATGGTATATACATGTTTTCTTCATCTCTTTAGCATTTTGATTGTGTTTTTTAACTAAGTTCAGTGTGCTCTTATGACGCGACATTATCCCTGTAGCTCGAAATATGGTTATTTTGTTCGTCTTTTTAGCGTCTTGATTGTGTTTTTTAACCAAGTCTCTTATGATGCAAGATATCCCCTTAGCTCTTTTTTTTCTTTTTCTTTTTTGTGTGTCCGTTAAGCATCTTGAATGTGTTAGATAACTAAGTTTAGTAGACTATGATGATGCATGATAATCCCTGTAGTTTGCTGTAGAATTGTTAACTAAGTATGTTTTTACGACTTCAGATAATCTAAAAAACTCATGGTATACTTGTCTTCTTACCTCTTAAGCATCTGGATTGTGTTTGTTGATTAAGTTTTGTATGTTCTTATGATGCAAGCAAGATATAGTGGTATTCCTGTTTCCTTTGTCTCCTTAGCTTCTTTATTGTGTTTGTTGAATAAGTTTAGCAAGCTCTTATTATGCTACATTTCCTGTTTACATAATTTTAAGGTAAGGGAAATTTGTGCCTGATTATGTTGTAATGAATAATTGTGGACTGAATGTCTTAGTTGGCACAATAGGAGAAAATTTTATGAACTTTTATCAATAGACCAACTGGATTGTGAAAAGGGACTTTACGGTCCAGGCAAGAAGCTATATGCTTGGTCCTTGGCATAAATTTCATTTAGCATGTTGCCCCTTTTCCCTTTGTTAGTAATGATGATTTAGAATCATTCTACTCATTTTTGCTGGTTTTACTTTGTTCATTCCATTGGCATATACTTAATAGTTTTGTTGCGGTGGGGCTGTGCTGACTAGTCTTTAACTTTCATTTGCTTTTTATATAGGTTTCGAAAGATCCTGACCGAGATGCTGATCCATTTGGAGCGACAACCCAGGAATAGAGAGCGACGAATTGCGTGGCTTAAGTCTATTGATCCAATCTTTATTTCTACGTGCCTTCTGTTAGTAGACTATATTGAGCTTATTTTCCCACTACTCTTCCAGTGGTTGCATGTTGATGATGATGAAACAGTTCTACTGGTAAGATTATTGTGTCTTCTTACTCGTCAAATTTCAGTATAATTTCAGAAAGTTACATGAATGAATCAATCTATTAAAGTCTCATTATTCTGCAGGCTCTCAAACAACATCATACGATTGTCCGGCTAACAAGGGTAGAGAAGTCACCATACCTTGAAAGGTAAACTAAGTGCATATACCTTGAGGTTGGCATTTGATTTATAGTTAGGTGGTTGTATTGTTCAATGGAACAAAATATTTTTTTTGTTTGATAATTTTTAAAGTCTTTCTGTGAATGTTAAGAAGTCTAGTTCCTATTGAAACCTGTTATTGTCATCTTTTGTCGACTTGCCGTTCATCGTGAACTCTAGTTCGAAGATTCTATAATTTAACCAATCTCTGTGAACTTTTCAATAGACTTTACTTCCTGATTTCTTTCTCCATGGTTTTCAATCTTGTCATTCCCCCTTTATTCAGATTGGTAAAGGAACTTGTTGTATCATACAAAAAAGCATTTTCTGAAAATCCTCCTTTTTCCATTGCCCTAGTCCTTTTCTTATTCTGTGTTTGCAGATGCAAAGGTATACAGTTTGAAAAAGCCTGGATCAAGCGCAGGGATGATCCATACTTGACCACCCTTGATTGTAATCTATCGGTGAGCAGAGATTACTATCTCGTGAGCAGCCGTTCAAAGTTTTTTGAGCCGTTGAGAATAGATGGTATCAAGCCTAAAGAGGGAAGTAAACTGAAGGAAGAGGATATGGAATCGAAGCCGGGGAAAATGAAAATTGATGCTTAAGCTGAGCCATTGTCGGAGATAATGCCGGAGCCTAGATATCAAGATTTAGGATTTAGGATGTGAAAATTTCATAGGAAGCTCACGAGGTAGTAATCTCTGCTCACCGATAGAGATATCAAAATAGAAATTGCTGAAACTAAACTTCATAGAAGCAAAGCAAAGAGACTTGTACATTCCATTTTTGTGTAGAACTCTAGCCAGTGATTAAGATTTAGGATGTGAAGATTTTATGGAAAATGGTAGGTTTAATGATGCCATGCTTAATGATAACATGTCATGCATGGAAACTCTGAGATGAGGAAATACCAACACTAGTTTTTTTGATAGTTTGTGAATGGAAATTATGGATTCTTGTCATTCTCACATTGCATGATCATCATCATGACATGAAAATCATACTTCTTATAGGAATTGGTAGGCTTGATGATGCCATGCCTAGTGATATAATGCAAACATGTGATCTTTGAGATGAGCAAAACAATTACTGATTCTTATCAACCTCACATTGCATGACCATC